ATGAGGGGAAAAAGCCTACTGACGGTGGAAACAGCCAATGACGTGGCAGAGGCCGGAGAAAACCACCGAAAACCAACGAAGAGTCGGACGTCTTCGAGTCGGCGATCCCAACGTTTGCAGTTGCGATCTTGACAAAGTCGATGGATCCCCGAATCGCGTCACCCGATTGGTCCGCGAAAAACCGTCTTTGCATGCTGATTGGCTCGTTCTAAATCAAGCGTTTGCCACGGTGGCGCCAACGCCTCCGATTCTGTTTCGTACTGCGATGTTCACTGCTCCGCGCTTGAACCGTCTCGACGAGCTATCGACGTGGCAGCCGGCGTTTCTCGCAGCCACGGACGCTGCGATGACCGCCTACTACACGCGCCCCAACTATGAGGACGCTACCATTGTGGATTCGATCGGCCCGGCGCGGTTGCACGTCCTCCAAACCACCGTCAACGCAGCGGTGCCCGAGGTCCCCGACGACCTGACGCCAGCACAGCGCGACGGCGCCGAGATCATGCGGAAGCGCCATCTCGACGCGCTGCTCAAGGATGCCATTGCCTCGGAATGCGGCGCGATTCGGTCGCAAAAAGGGCAGGACGCGTGCGAGCACCTCCTCTCGGCCATCGTGCCGTCGCTGCATCATCATGTAGCGCCACCTACGGACCCGTACCGGATGTGGCAGCGACTGACGGCCGCGGCGTCTAGCGACGTGAGCGCGCTAACCTTGGCTTACACCAAGGTGACGGACACCCGCTTCCAGGCGAAACGACCCAACTACGAGGCACCTGGCACGTTCTTTCAGCGCTTTGACGCTATCGTGGACCCATTCTTAGCGCAGCTTTTGACACCGCCCGCCGACGTCGACGCGCCCGCCGTGGCAGCGTACCGGGCGGCGCTGTCGGCCAAGCTCAAGTGCGTCTTGCTGGCGCACGCGACTGGCCCCCATGATGCGAGTATGCTCTCGGGGCCACTGCCGTCGGACGTCGCCCGCTTTCAAATACACCTGCTGCCGTTGATGGCCAAGGCAACCGCGCGCCCGATGACGTCGTCCCCGAACGCGTGTGCCTACTGCGGCTACGACGACCATGTCGCGTCCCGGTGCCGGCAGCGCACCTTGGACTGGGAAAACCGCGTGTTTCAAAACATCTGCTACGATGGCGGGCACGCGTTTCCGGTCATTGACGGCCAGCCATGTACGCTTGCCTTCGTCCCGCGCACCGCGAGCGACGAAGCAGCGTTGACCCGGAAGGGGCTCATGAAGAAGAGCCGCGTCAAGCGCAAGGAGGCGCCTGCTGCACCCGTTGACGTCGCCCAGAAGCGACAGCTACTCGAAGAGCGCTGCACGCGCCGCGGTCGCACGTCGACCATGTAGCGCTGTGGGCAGCCATCGTCGCGGAACGGAAGGAAGCGTTCTCGTTCACGTAGCCTTCTGGACTCAACCCTTTAAAGAGAGCTAGCCTTGTAGCACCTGCAGCTTCGTTGCAGGTGAGCCATCGTCCTAGAGGACGGGGCAACGCGGCCACGGGAGCGGTTGTGGAATCCGCCTGTCTGCCGGTGGCTGTTGGCGCTGCTGGCCGATCGTTCGCGGTTTTTGATTGGTCCGATTTACAGACGTATCTAACACTTTTGTTTACAACACTATTATGTGTTGGAATGGCAGGTTTGCCTCTCGCAACGCATCGCGTCGCAGCATTTAGTAGCGTCGTACATGCATTGAGCTCAGTGTATTGAATTGAGCGCTGCTTGGTCGAGAGTGCGATCTGTCTCGGCACGCGCGGGCCTGCATTGAGTGATCGATGACTTGGTCAGCATCCCTATTGTTGTGTACACCTGTTTTATACTCATAACACAAAAAACAATATGTTATAATACAACTTGATGGATTCCACATTTGCACCAAGCACGATGGTTTGCGCCTCGCCGTTCGGCGGCCCGCGCCTGGAGCAGCTCGCGCAGTTTCCTGCGTGGCAGCCGGCGTTCTTGGCCGCTGCCAGCGCCGCCAACTGCGCCAGCTACTACCTTGTGGAGGGCTACGAAGACCCGGACCACGCCAACGCCATTGGCCCTGCCACGATGCACATGCTCATGGCGGCGGCTGACAGCGCCGTCCCAGACGTCGACGATCACGCGCTCAGCGATGTGGGCCTTCAAGTCGCCGTCGCGCGCCGCGCGCGCCGAGTCCAGCGACGCGTTGTCGAGGCCATCGTCAACGAGGTCGAGACGATGCACCAGCGCGCCGTGCGTCACGCCAGCCAGTTCCTTCTCGCCGCCCTCGCGCCCGCGCTGCATGCCGTCGTCCGCGATGCTTCAAGCCCGTACCACATGTGGCTTCAGCTCTGCAGAGCCAGTCGCCATGGACTCCACGAGCTCTACGCCCTGTACACGCCCGCGACGACCGCGACCATCGACGCGCCCGCGTCAGTCGACAACGTACAACGGGCGATGATCGACCCGTTCTTGGATGCAGTGCTGCCACCGACAATGCGGTCCGAGTGGACGGCGGCGACGACGGCTGCCGTGGCCGAGTTTGCAGCCGAGACGCGCGCCAAGCTTGGTATGGTGCTTCTCACCCACGCCGCCGCCGACGCCGTTCCCGATGCAACGACCTTTGAGCACGAAAACTGGAACGTTGCGGAGTTCGCACGCTTCCTAGCGGGACGCGTCGCCCGGCGACCGCCACCACCTTTGACGCACTCGCCGAGAGACGTCCCCGAGGCCGTCACCGACGCCAGAACCGACGCACCCGAGGTACCGTTGCACCCAGAAGGTACCGCCACACCAGTCGTCGACGTCGAGCCCGAGATCGAAGCGGCGCCCGTCGTGTCGGAGGCGCACGAGCCCATTCACGTCCTTGAAGAGGCGTCAACGTCAGCGGGCAACACAGTTGCATTTAATCCCGTACTGCCGCTTGAAGACGAGGTTGCTGAGCCCACAGTCAAGCCGTCGCTAGATGTACCTGCACCGCCCGTCGCCCCTGCTACGCCCGAGCCCACCGAGCTTCCGCACATGACGGTGACGCCACTGGACGCGCCTGCCATCACCGCGTCAGCTACAACGGCCTCCAGTACTGCGTTCGTGCCGGTATCGAACGCCTCGGCCACTTCTGTCGAAGCTGAGATCGCGTCGCCGCCCGTCGCACCCGAGCCCAAGGAGTTGCCTCGCTTGACACCTTCGAGCACGCCTCTGGTCATTTTGACACCACCAGCCGTCCCCAGTGCCCCTCTTCAGCGCATACCAAACGACATACCAGCGCTTACCGCCAACACTGAGCGTTTCCCTGCAGCCCGTGAGCCAGCGGCAGAGGCCATTGATCTGTGCTCGCCGGCGTCCACGCCCGAGTATGCAGCCCCTCTCGACTCTGTCGAGGTCAAGACCGAGCTGCTGGCGCCGCCAGTGCCAATCGTGCCTGTCCGGGTCACCCACGTCCGGCGTCCGTCGCTGTCACACGCCGTGACGGCCGCGCCACAGCCTTCTCGACCAACATCGTCGGAGCCCGTCGTCACAAAGATTCAGGGGGTTCAAGGTCACGCGCATCAAGATCACGAAGCCTAAGGCGTCGGTCGCAGGCAAGCGCCGGACAACGTTGACCGACGACGAGC